TAGGTAGGGAATAAACTTTAGTGGATCTTTTCTTTTCTTTTGGTATTGCTTTGGAATATCTACACACATATTCTTTTCCAATAGTGAGGATGATCAAAAAAACATTTTTTTTTTTTTTTTAGAAATAGGGTCTCATTCACTCTGTTGCCCAGGCTGGAGTTCAGTGGTGCAATCATAGCTCACTATAACTTTGAATTCCTGGTTTCAAGTGATCCTCCCACCTCAGCCTCCCAAGTAGCTAAGACTACAGGCACATGCTACCACACCTGGCTAGATTTTTTATTTTTTGAGATAGAGTCTCACTCTGTTGCCTTGGCTAGAGTGCCGTGGCGTCAGCTTAGTTCACACCACTCTCCAACTCCTGGGCTCAAGCAATCCTCCTGCCTCAGCCTGTCAAGTAGCTGGGACTACAGTTATGCGCCATCATGCCCAGCTAATTTTATATATATTTTTTAGTTGTCCAGGTAATTTATTTCTATTTTTTTAGTAGAGACAGGGTCTCACTCTTGCTCAGGCTGGTCTTGAACTCCTGAACTCAAATGATCTGCCCGTGTTGGCCTCCCACAGTGCTAGGATTACAGGTGTGAGCCACCTGTGCCTGGCCAATATTTTATTTTTTATATAGGTGGGATCTTGCTATGTTGCCTAGGCTGGTCTCTAACTACTGGCTTCAAGCTGTCCTCCCACCTCAGCCTCCCAAAGTGCTGGGATTTAAGGTGTGAACTACTACATCTGGCCTTGACTGTAATTTTACTAAGGAACTTATTTATTATATTAAAGCCACCTAATTATAAATCTCAGAAATCTGGTACAGTTTTTTTTGTTTGTTTGAGTATATAAAAATTAGGAACCAGAGAAGGTTTGATCCAAACATTTCTAACTCAGAATGGAAAAACACAACGGGAGATGGGTATTATATGTTAGAAACAGAATAATGTAGGTGGCATTTATTCATGCAATCAGTGGATATTACTGGCATCAGCTAAATTCTAGGCTCTCTTCTATAGCCTGGGATTATAGTGATTTAAAAAAAAAGATAAGATCCCTACCTGGTGGAGCTCTTAGTCAGTAAACAGACAAGAAAATTTAAAACATAAAGTAACAGTGTATAAGGAATATAAATAGGTTTGTGTAAGAGAGAGTAACTGAGTAGAGGGTGAGCTACTTTGTATATATACAGTGATTAGAAAAGGACTTTTAGAGAAAGACACAAAGACCTGAAGGATAAGGACTTGCCTAGATTGTGGTCTCTGGTTTCTCTCTGAAAGGAATCAGGATTTCTTGGAGAACTGGCATATTAAAAGTCAGGCCGGGCGTGGTGGCTCACGCCTGTAATCCTAGCACTTTGGGAGGCCGAGGCGGGCGGATTGCTCAAGGTCAGGAGTTCGAAACCAGCCTGAGCGAGACCCCCGTCTCTACCAAAAATAGAAATAAATTAATTGACCAACTAAAAATATATATACAAAAAAAAAATTAGCCAGACATGGTGGCGCATGCCTGTAGTCCCAGCTACTCGGGAGGCTGAGGTAGGAGGATCGCTGAGCCCCGGAGATTGAGGTTGCTGTGAGCCAGGCTGACGCCACGGCACTCACTCTAGCCTGGGCAACAAAGTGAGACTCTGTCTCAAAAAAACAAAAAAACAAAAACGACAACAACAACAAAAAAAAGTCTAGGACAAGAACTGTAATAGAAAACAAAGAAGCGATCATAGTCTATTGGGTAATGACATGGGAGCCAACTTGGAGGGGCTCCCTCAGGCCACAAATGTGACAGACAATTCCAGCATCAGAAGAAGAGTGACTGCAATTAATTGGAATGCATCTATTATTTAAAATATATGAGTTTATAATGTTACTTTAAAAATGCATTGTTCATCTTCAGACCAAAACTGGACAGTCAAGTATTTATCCTGTCTTTCCTCAAAGAATTATACCTCAGTATAACCAGATATTTCAGGAGACATACTTCTTAAAAGAATATAGCTAATAAATGCAGAAAGAATGATAAAACTATTATACTTTAATGAAATTAAATTAATGAAATTAAATATCTAGGCAGTGAATCTTTTCACGTTTGCCTATATATACTTCTGAATGTTTCATGTTAGGAAATTTATAATCAGTTTAAAAAGAGGGGTAAAAATTTAGCATGTAGGTATAGGAGTGGAGATATTTCATGCAATGGGAACACAATGAACAAGGTAGAGAGGTGAAAAAATACATATTCAGAGAAGACTTAGTAATTAGATTCCTCAAAGTACAAGATATGTTAAGTGGAAATATTGTGGATGTGAGTTCTCAGAATACACAATACCTGGAAATAGTGAAAAACTATTGCTAAGTTCAGGAGGAACTTGAGAGTCAAAGAAGCTTGTCTATAGTTCCTGCTACCCTTTGGATTCATTGAACTAATGGTAAACAAAGGCATTAAACAATGGGTTTAATTGAGTCAAATTGATTTGGTAGCAGACCTTAATAGAATGGTAATATATATATATATATACACACACACACACACACACATACACACATGTATATAGAATGTGGCATTGATTTTACTTGAACAGCCCTTGCTTAAAGCAGGCAATCTGTTAACTAATATTGTTGTTTGTCGCTTCATCATTGTGTTCTTGTTAGAATGGCATTTATATAAATGAATATCCCAACATTAATGATTTCTATATCCACATTAGGCCCTGTTATACTGTTAGTGTACCACATGTGTTCCTATCTAAAAGTAATACATTTAGTGAACTCATTTTCAACAAAAGTGCCAAGAGCCTACATTGGGTAAAGGACAGTCTCTTCGATAAATGGTGCTGGGAAAACTGGATGTCCATATGCAGAAGAATGAAAACTAGACCCCTGTCTCTCACTATATACCACGATCAAATCAAAATGGATTAAAGACTTAAATATAAGACCTCAACTATGAAACTACTAAAAGAAAACATTGAGGAAACACTCCAGGACATTGGTATGGGTAATGATTTCTCAAGTAATGCCTCAAAAGCACAGGAACCAAAGCAAAATTGGACATATGGGATTACATCAAGCTAAAAAGCTTCTGAACAGCAAAGAAAATAATCATCAAAGTGAAAAGACAACCCAAAGAATGGGAGAAAATATTTGCAAACTACCCCTCTGACAAGAGATTAATAACTGGAATATATAAAGAGCTCTACAACTCAATAGGAAAATATCAAATAATCCAATTTAAAAATTGGCAAAAGATCTAAATAGACATTTCTTAAAAGAAGACATACAAAAGAAGACATATGGCCAATAGGTATATGGAAAAATGTTCAACATCATTATTCATCAGAAAAATGCAAATCAAAACTACAATGAGATATCATCTCACGCCGGTTAAAATGGCTTTTATTCAAAAGACAGGCAATAACGAATGCTGACAAGAATGTAGAGAAAGGGGAACCCTTGTAACTGTTGGTGGGAATGTAAATTAGTGTAAGCACTAATGGAGTGCACTAATGGAGAACAGTATGGAGGTTCCTCAAGAAACTGAAAATAGAACTACCATATGACCCAGCAATCCCACTGTTAGGTATATATCCCAAAGAAAGGAAATCACTATATCAAAAACATATCTGCACTCACATGTGTATTGCAGCACTATTCACAATAGCCAAGATTTGGAATCAGCCTACGTGTCCATCAACAGATGAATGAACAAAGAAAATGTGGTACATATATACAATGGAATTTTATTCAGTCATAAAAAGAATGCAATTCTGTTATTTGTAGCAATGTGGATGGAACTGGAGAACATTATGTTAAATGAAATAAGCCAAGCACAGAAAGACAAATCTTGCATGTTCTCACTCATGTGTGGGAGCTCAATATTAAAACACTTGATCCTGTGAAGACAGAGACTAGAATGATGGTTACCAGTAGCTGAGAAGGGTAGCAGGGAGCAGGGATGAAGTAGGGGTGGTTAATGGGTGCAAAAATATAGTTAATAGTTAGAATGAACAATGTTTGATAGCACAACAAAGTGATTATAATCAACAATAAGTTTTATGGTATATTTAAAAGAGTGGAACTGGAATGTTCCCAACACAAAGAAATGATAAGTGCTTGAGGTGAATGGATACCCTGATTACACTGATTTGATATTTTACACATTGTCTGCCTGTATCAAAGCATCACACATACCCTATAAATATATACAATTATTATGTACCCATAATTAAAAATAATCAATGAAAAATCAAAGTAATACATTGTATAATTGAAATGCATAGTTTAACCTCACTTTTTAACAAAATGATCTTCTCTGTTCCGATCCCTATACCTCTCTCTCCCACCTGTTATAGTTAAATATTCTGCCTTATCTAAAATTCATGTTGTATGGATAATAGTAAGCGGATATATTTCTTTTTAAAACTATTTTTTTTCATTTGAAATGACTTGTGCCATGGTATTTTTTTTTTAAGACCCTTAAAAATCTATCTTCAGAATTTCTTTCTTAAGAATTTCTAATAAACAGCACTAAGCTTTTTTTTTTATTAATTTTATAAGCCAATGTATATTTGTCTGCTCCAAATTGAATATGTTTTTTAACTCTCCTGGTATATAAGAGTTTGGCAGCTGGGGTATATAAATGTAATATGTGCCACAGCTGAGAAATAGTGGGAAAGGGAGATTTCAAGCTGTGTAAGCAGAACTCTGTGGAGACGGACAGCTGTGCTCCCTGTGAGAGGTAGTTTGTTTTTATGGCTAGTCAAATAGTTTAGTGAAGTGAAAGACATATCAATTAAGTTTCAATGGTCTCATCCTTATACTTACTCTTTTCCTAAAAATGGAAATTGGACAATAATGAAAGAAAGTTGTAGTGTTCTATTTATCATCAGTTCTTTACTTCGGAATTTAATTTAAATTTGGAAAAATGGGATTTTCTTAGTAATACATTTTAAGGAAAAGAAATTCCTTTACAGCACGATACTTATTTTAGAAAAAAAAATATGTATTTTTTAACAGGGTATCCAGAAGTTGGCTAGTCAGTACCTGAAGAGAGATTGGCCTGGAATAAAAGCTGATGATCGGAATGATTACAGGTAACTTACTAAGAAGTTTTTCCCTGTTTTCTTTAAAAATGGTTTCACTCAGAGCTATGTCACATATAGATAATGTCATACTCTCGTTTTTTAAAAAATTACCTCTTTCCTTTGCTATGTAATAGTATCAAAGTTATCAAAATTTTTAATGTTTCATAACATATAGATAACCTACATAAAATAGATCATTTTCATGTGTTTAAGCCAAGATTATGATTTATCTAATTAATACCTACATATGAACTTCAAAGAAGATAGATGACAATGGAACACAAATTGTTTTCTGAGTGACTTACAATGAAACACATTATTGCAACAAGTTTCTAAGTAAAATATTTTAAAGAAAAGAGCATCCCTTTAGCACAATACTTATTTTAGAAATGGGTTTGTGTGTTTGTATAAACAAGGTATCTAGAAGTTGGCTAGTTAATATCCCACTTATAAATTTAAAGAAGGTAGATGACAATGTAATAGAACTTGTATCCTCAGTGACCTACTGATATCTTCGAAGTATAATTTTGTTTAGAATGTGATGTCTTTTTTGAGGTTAATTTGAAAGTGTTTTTTGTATTTAGGGTTGTATTTTATTATCTTTTGTATTTAAAGTTGTCCTTAGAGTTGGGGACCCAGAAGAGAGAGACCTCAGAGCTTATAATATGGTAGAAATACAGACTGATACTCATGAAACGATACCAGAGAATCCAGGATAATTAAGAGCACAGTATTGAAGTATATTGTTTGGAGTCTGAGTTGAAATCAAGCCACTGAATTGTCAATGAAGACTGACATCATTAGAAAATTTCTTAAGAATGTGGCAATGGGGGTTGAAAACTGAAGGATATGTAAGAAACCCTAATAATTCTTCACAGTGGCAGACTGATAGCTTAGAAGGTGGCATGATAGCTATAAATAATAAAACAGTATAATTATAATAGAGAATAGAGAATGTTAAAGCAAAACAGGATATAAAAATAAGATTTCCTGTGGACTTTCCTGTATCTACAAAGTTCAGCTAAGAGGGAAGAGAGAAGAGATGAAATTCTAGGCAAAAAAGACATAGAACAAAACTTTGAGGTGAGAGTGAGCTTGATATGTACAGTGTTGCTGGTATAAGGAAATCAGTGCGACTAAGAGAGAGATTGCTTGTTGTGGAGTGAAAAACCATCCAACTTATAGATAGCCATATTCCAAGTATATTTGAAATTGAGGATTCAGGTTACCAAGGAAATAAGGATAATAATCTATGCTTCCAGGCTAGCTTATAAAACCTAATTTTAAAAAGTGTTTTAAGCCAACATTTCCTAGGTATTTATTATATGCCAGACACTATGCCAGGAAATTTAACTCATCTCCTGTGATTATCAAAACACTTGCGTGAGGTAGATATAATTATTCTCATTTTATATGCTAGGAAACTGAATCTCAGGTTATGTGCCTTACTCAAGGTTACATAGCTATTTAAACACTCATGCATTCTTTCTTTATTCATGAGATATATATGAAATGTCTACCACATGCCAGCTGTTAAAGTAGGCTTTAGGATTAGAGAGACTAGGAGATGTGGTATCTGACCTTCAGGAGCATATAGGAGATAACCACTATACACAGTTGCAGTATTGGGTCATAGTAGAGGTGCTTTGGGGCCATAGAAGAAAACTGAGGCTTATAGAAGTGAATCTTAAAGAATGTGCGGGAGTTTGCCAGGCAGTTTGGTAAAAGGAATTCTAAGCCAAAGTAACACCTTAAAGTCCTGGAACATGAGAAAAGGTGAATATTGGTAACAAAGAGCAGTTCACTGTGGCTTGTGTGAAGTGTGTGGGTTAGAGGATAAAGTTGAGTGGTGGAGATGGAAGGAAGATACACAGGTAAGTGTCATAAGGGAATTTTCATGTTATGGGGTTTATTTTCTTATTTGGAAGATAATGGAGGCATTGTAGAATTTCCATAAGAGGAATGACATGATCAACTTCACGTTATTAATAGTACAAAGGTGTAGTAGAGGAATGTGAGGAAAAATTCAGAAAGGATAGAATTGCAGGAATTTAATCCCTTATCATCTCTTATTTGAACCATGGAAATTATAGCATAAATCAGGTTGTGGGGGAGATTTCAGACACTGAAACTAGAGGACTTGCAAGTGATTGGGCAGAATTTTGGTTTTTTTGTTTGTCAAATTTGTTCTGAGACAAATGTATAAACAATTTTCCCAGTATCTAAAATAGTTCTTGAAACATAAAAGACACTTCGTAAATATTTACTGAATGAAAGAATGAGGTAGGAGGAGGGAGAGGAAGAATTATAAAGTGGCTCCCAGGTTTTTCAGTTTAGGCAATTGAGAGGATAGTGGTGCCACTGTTGAAAAAGATAATAGATTGAGAGTGAGAATGGCAATTGCCAATTTTTTTGTCTATTCATAGTTTATTGTACTTTTAGTCATTATAAATTTCCCATTTAATTTTTTTGTATTTATATTTGCATGGTAGTTTTAAAAATCTTATCCAAGTAATATATACTTTGTGTTAATAGGTAATAGTACAGAAGAGTATAAAGAGTATAAAGTCCAGCCTCATCACACTTCTACTCCCCTAGATTAATTGCTGTTAAAAGCATGTGGTCTTTTCTTTCATATTTTTTTCTATGTAATTCATACATGAACATACACAGTTTTCTGTTTTTAACAGAACTGAAATTATTATTTACCTATACTTCTGTAATGCCCCCACACAATTAAAGAGTCTATTCTAGACATCCTTTCATGCCAGTAGGTTCAGATCCCCCCATTTTTTAAAATGTTTGCTTTAATTCATTGCCATAGTTTAAATAAACTATGGTTCTATTAACCATTTCCCTATTTGTAGTTGCTTAGTTTATTACTATTACAAATAATGCTGCAGTGAATAACACACATGTGTAGATTTGTGTGATCACTACCACAGTTAAGATTTTAAGAATTTAACAGTTAATAATTTGTTGGCTTATTTCTTTATTTTTTTTCAGCATATTTATTTTTTTTAATTTTTATATATTTTTAAATTTTATTTATTTTTTTCAGCATATTATGGGGGTACAAATGTTAAGGTTATGTATATTGCCCTTGCCCCTCACCTTGAGTCAGAGCTTCAAGCATGTCCATCCCCCAGTTGGTGCGCATCACACTCATTATGTATGTATATACCCATCTCCTCCCCCCCACCTGCCCAACACCCAATAAATGTTATTCCTATATGTCCACTTAGGTGTTGGTCAGTTAATACCAATTTGCTGGTGAGTACATGTAGTGCTTATTTTTCCATTCTTGGGATACTTCACTTATTAGAATGGGTTCCAGCTCCAGCCAGGAAAATACTAGAGATACTACTATATCACCATTGTTTCTTATAGCTGAATAGTACTCAATGGTATACATATACCACATTTTATTAATCCATTCAGGTATTGATGGGTATTTCAGTTGTTTCCATATATTTGCATTTGTGAATTGTGCTGCTATAAACATTCAAGTGCAGGTGTCTTTTTCAGAGTGACTTTTGTTCTTTTGGGTAGATGCCCAGTAATGAGATTGCTGGATCAAATGGTAGATCCACTTGTACTGCTTTAACGTATCTCCATATTGCTTTCCACAGAGGTTGAACTAGTTTGCAGTCCCAGCAGCAATGTAGGAGTGTTCCTGTCTCTCCACATTGTTGGTTTATTTCTTGATGAAAAATTCTTTGTGTTAAAGTTTTCTGTTTTCCAGTAGGATATCCATACAAGAAAGAGTTCACAGCATGATCTTTGATGGTATATGGATAAATTTTTTTCGTATTATACTATTTATAACTTTATTATGGCAAATGTTGCTTGTTTTTTCATTTAGAATAGTCATATAAGGTTGTAAAGTGCATATATTTTAATTTAAAAGGTAAGTCAATTTAACAAAAAGATAAGAAAATAATGGTACAGAAGGTATCAGACAAAAAATCATGTAGGATGTATACAAAGAACTTAGGTTATACAGATCTTGATATACCTTTATCAGAATGAAGAGACCCTTTTTCATGTTTAGCATTGTTAACTGAGATGGAAGAACAATCTTATCTCAGCCGAAGAGCAGAGGTTTGGGAGCCAGACAAATCTGGGTTCAAATTGAGACTCCATCATTCCCCCCACCTCCTACAGTAAATATTTAGTGCTTGCTATGCTATACCCTGTTCTAGGTGCTGTGTATATAGCGGTAAATATTAAAAAAACACAGCCTCTGCTGCATGAAGCCTTCATTCTAGTGAGGAAAGACAGACAATAAACAAGTGAATAATTAAACATATATATCAATTGGTGATAAGGACCAATAACCATAGTAAGGAGAATACAGAGTGCCAGGGAGCAATGGCATTGCATTCGTACTATGTAGAGCATAGACATTAGGGCAAAAACAGAGGGCAGCTAAGAGACGTTTGGCATAGTCCAGGTACAACGTATGACAGTGGCTCAAAACAGGGTGGTCACAGTGGAGAATGTAGGCAGTAATCAGATTCCATGATATTTTATAAGTCTAGCGAAGAGGATTTCTTGATGGAGCAGAAGTGGGATGTGAGAGAAAAAGGAGGAATCAATGATAATCTAGAGTTTTTGGCTTGAGCAACTAGAGGGTTTGAATAGCTGTTAATGAGATGAACTAGATTGTCAGAACAGATTTTAGGGAAATCAAAAATTTTTTGAACATGTTGGGCTTATGATGCCTACTAAATACCCAAGTTGAATATGTTAAATAAGCAGTTGGGGGTTAGGGAAAGATGTCTGGGCAAGAATTAAAAGTTCAGGAGTAGTCAACAGCATCTTGGTAGTCTTTAAAGCCATGAGAATGGATGAGTTCATCTAAGAAGAGAGTGTAGTTAGAGAATAGAAGAAGCCTGAGGTCTGATGCTGGGGCACTTCAGCATTTAGAGGGCAGTGAGATGAAGAGGAAACAGTAAAGGTAGGAGCAGACCAAGAGAGAGTGATGTTCTGGAAGGCAGGTGAAG